TTTTTTAAAAGCTTAATCCCGATCGAGTTAAGTCTTAAATCATCTCATTTCGCTTCATATCATTTGACATATAACAGAATATAAAAAGAAATAAGACCTGGCTTAAAGGTCTTGTTACCAGGCCATAAATCTTAAAAAGAAAAACTTGTTCTCAAATAACGTCTACCCAAAATGAATACATCTTTAACTATAGTGGATCTTGAACAACAAAAACGACCGCACAATAGGGCCGACAAGAGTTTATTTATAACTACGACGAAGGACAGACAATCACCACGTTTTATCTCAGCGCAGCATGACTGGACTCCTCGAGATGGCATTAAAAACTACATGTATCAAATACGTATTAAGAATTTAATAGAACCTTTTTTGTTTTTCGATTTGTTTACGGATATAATAAAATCAATTTCGAAACATTTATTTTCAGTTTAGTTCATTGAACAGTTATTTAGATCCAATATCTATTAGTTAATTAATAAAGGAACACGTTTTTCTTTTCAAAACACTTAAATGATCAATTTATTCTGTAAAAAATTCAAAGCATATACAATTTTTTTTCAACTCAATTATTCAATAATTGGTGTTTACAGTAACTCCGTTGTAGTCGTTAATGGCCTGTCGGTTTTAATTAAATACCGGATTTTCGTACAATTATTTAATTAACCAAACTAGCCGAGAGATGTTAAAGCATTGTGTTTGTAAAATTGAATTTCCGACGTATGTTTCCGTGGAGAGTCATCAAAATCTATTCAAGGCTGTGCAAGGTTTTTTTTTTCAATTATATACCTAGACGCACTCCACCAAGCTACAGAACGGTATTGATGGAGACAGCTAGTTGACGGAATCAAACGGAGTCACGATCCTCAGCAATGAGGGACCGAGTGAAGAGAGACCTATAATTAAATGTTGGAAGCATTCAGAAACTTTATCGCGTCTACGTCGATAGATTTATAGAAGGTCAATTTCAATTACTTATGTTTTACTGGTGGTAGGACCTCTTGAGAGTCCGCGCGGGTAGGTACCACCACTCTGCCTATTTCTGCCGTGAAGCAGTAATGCGTTTCGGTTTGAAGGGTGGGGCAGCCGTTGTAACTATACTGATACCTTAGAACTTATATCCCTAGGTGGGTGTCGCATTTACGTTGTAGATGTCTAGAGGCTCCAGTAACCACTTAACACCAGGTGGGCTGTGAGCTCGTCCAACATCTAAGCAATAAAAAAATAACAAATAAAAAAATTGCTTATGTAGTATACAGTATCTTCTCGAAAAAAATCGAATCACATTTAATTTCATTTTAATTCTCTCTCCAAATGACATTCGTATTCAATTTCACGATCAATTCAGAATAGTCCTGTCTAAGCTTAAGTAAGATATATCTCGTAGATGTACAGATATTTTTATGTTAATAAATAAGTTACGCCTACAGCATGAGTTTTAAACAATTCCGTCAGTGCATTAATGTCGGTGGCGTAATATCTTATTCAATGACAGATTAACGTGTTCCACTGAATTCGAGAGAGTAACATTCCATATGAAATTAAAGATGTAATTAACCATTATTTGAAATTCGTTAATGATCTTTTCATTCTTGGTAGCTAGTTACGTTACGTTATAAATGAGTTCCATTTCTTTATTAGTTGAATAATATTTCGCTGCTCTTATGCGCATCTTTTGTGTATCTATGACAGAATTCACTTTCCTAACAATCTCTAATACTTTTAAACTGTTTCAGTTATATATATAGTTAACTATTTTGTATCGTAATCACTTACGACATTTCTAGAAGCACGCAAAATAAATAAAAGTCAACATGTATTTTTCTTTATGATTAAGACGAACAAAAACGTCAAAATTAGATATAAAGCAATCCTTGTCTGGATCTTTCATGTTCACTGAAGCGGTAATTTTCACTGTAAGTACTTACTCTCTTGCGAAATTCCCTCACGCAATGCTCTGTGATAATTGAATAACTTCACGCTTGCCATATTAATCTATGAATATTAGACAGCGTGGTTAAATAGCGTTAAAATTCTAGATGGACATGTAACAATGCCAGGGCCAGTGAATGGTTGCAAAAATAATACTAATTTTTATTATATATTTCGTAAGCATTATCGAGATTTCGGATAGTTTTCGAACGTGTATAAGAAGATACCGTTGAGAAATTTAATGAGAAACCAATGAATAGTTATATCTGAATAATTACGATCATTTTTCTAGACAAGTATATTGCTTACTCGTGGCAGGACCTCTTGAGTCCGCACGGGTAGGTACCACCACCCTGCCTATTTCTGCCGCGAAGCAGTAATGCGTTTCGGTTTGAAGGGCAGCCGTTGTAACTATACTGAGACAACTTATATCTCAAGGTGGGTGGCGCATTTACGTTGTAGATGTCTATGGGCTCCAGTAACCACTTAACAACAGGTGGGTCATGAACTCGTCCACCCATATAAACAAGCTTATCTTACAAAACTGAAAAAATGAATAAATAATTTTTGAAACGGAAAAAAATTTACATCGTGATCAAATTAGTTTTTAATTATTTCAACATTCCAACACAATAGTTCTTGTGTGTTTTCACAAGTTTCGTAAAGAAAAACTGTTGTCTTATGCAAGGCAGACAGAACTCGTGCGAACTAGGTACGTGCTAAAAATTCCAAACAATAGTCTCTATCGCGAATAGCTTGAGTCCAGTGAAAATCGTCTTTAGACAATCAATTTAACGCAAGATTTTATAATGACGGGTTACTTTACATTCTAAACATGTTGCTGTTGCCAAGTAATTTCTGATTCTTTAGCATTATTAGTATAGTGAACTTAATGCTTGAATACAAATGAATTTTGAAGAAGGAAAATCAGAACTCAATGTACTTTACATTAAATGCGATCTTCTTTCTCCTGAAATGTATATATTAAAATTTAGAACGATATATTATACGTGCCAAAGAGGGATTGAAGAAATGTCCATCCACTAAATACCGCAAAGCAGTCTTGGATTCCGGTCTGAAGGGTGGGGCAACTGCTATATGATGAAATTAAAATTTCGACCTCATGTCTCAAGGTGGGTGGCGGCACTCACTTTTGTTGTCTATGATTTCTTTCAAGAAGTAGTTCCACTTAACCCTAGGCGGACTGTACTTCCCATATTTCCCATAAATTATTAAAATTAATAAAATTAATGACCTCAATATACATGTAGATATTAAAGAGCCATAAAAATTTGTAGGTTTGTATGTCACGTACTTCTGGGACCGAAATATTTGTGGCCCGAGGCGCTATGAGCTCATTACGAAAATCATGCAAATATGTCAGGCTTGTTGCGTAAGTATTAGCACGGGCATGAATTTTAATGCGAATACCTCTCATTGCGACAGGTTTAAATGTGCCTGATTTTGACATATAGATGATGTTAGCATAGTAATATTTTAGTAGTATGATCTTTTTTTTGTTTTCCCTACTTAAGCTGTTGGTCTTGAGAGATCATATCAGCGTCACCGGGCGAATAGTTGAGCTCACGGGGCTCAAACCTGACGTTGCTAACACAAACCCTAGCAAGAGTCGTGCTTCGAAATCTACCACCGGATTGGAAACGCGGCCCACTGAGAAGATCCGGCAAGAAACTCCTTGGGTTAATTTACTCGCCGAGCCCTTCATCGCAAGCGACGGGTTCGACGAGAACGATGACCGATGATGATGAGATGGGGTACCTAAAAGCTCCGTTAGTGGATCAGAAGGATCCGAAATGATATGAGTATGATCTGTGGCGTTAGTAATATATGATCTGTGATCGAAATACAATTAATTCACAGAAAATAATGAGTCCTTTGATTTTATTCTGGCTCAACGACAACATACACTGGGTCAGGGTACCCTTCGAATGATATAATCCTTTTACCTGTTACGATTGATACTAAAAGAATGTTAGATAGTCGTCGTGAAAATCTACAGAAAGACGCAGATAAGACACGTGGACGTCGAGTTGCCTAAATCAACCAATTTTGAAAATTCAACACAATAGACAAAATATTAGATTTTTTTATACCTATTAATAATGTCAGTCAATACATAGGCTTAGTAAAAAATCCTTACTTAATAAACGAGCCGTTTGTGCCTTTAAAAAATCCCTTATTAAAAGATAATAATTAGTAATAAGGTTCATTGATACTTGTAGCTTTCGACTAAATTGTAATTTTTAGTTTTTTGGATTATTTAATTTTCTAGAAAAATTCATCGCTCTGAGCTCATGTAAATAAATAATTATTTTTATAGTGTTAAGTATATGATTCTATAATTGGAAATGCGTGGTAATCTTAATCCTTATTTTCCAAATGTAATTTTCTTGAAACAAAAATTCAAAGCTCTTAATAACTGTAACGATATGCAAGGAGTAGCATAGAATTGCAGTTATACCGATGCAGTAAGTGAAAATCAGTGAAAGCTTAAAACTAGCTTTCTAGGGCTAGAGCTTAAAGCTTTCAAATTGCAAACAATCGCGATACGATTATAGCACTCATTTATATATACAATCAGTTATATGAAATGACTGAAATTTTCATTTGTTTTTCTTCCTAGTTAAAACGGTACACGTTTGCGAGAAAGATTTCGAATAAAAAGCAAATCGGCATATTTTCGTGAGCATATCTGTAGTATACAAAAGGCTAACAGTAAGTTACTGTTGCAGTTGCTGGCATAACCTGGATCAATTAACTAAAATTACATTATTTTTTTGTATTCGATTATAGATAAATAAAATTCATAATAGCCGAGAAGGCCGCTGTATTAACACAAAATCGATAACGACTGATCATGTGTCACTCGGGATTAATCGATATCGTTACACAAAATTGCAATATCGTTACTAGCGTGACGTCACAGCTGCAGCCCGTAGTGTGGAAACTTCGATATCACACTTTGACAACTATCGCGATCCGTCGATGAAAACGTATCGGGCGGATCGTCACCTTTCGGCGTACCTTAAACATTTGAAAATACTACGTACCTACGCCGAGGGCGGCCGCTAACACTAATAAACACCTCGAATTCATATTGCGAACTAAGTCCTGGCACGAGAGTAGTGGACACTGTAACGTTCTAGCACACACTGCGAGCGGGTGAATGGGCGGCTCAAGCTTTTATATCGGGTGATCGGACGCGTCGCTTCGACGGTGAAAAGCGACGTCGCCGCCCGCGCACGCCGCGCTCTGTGAGACACCCTCGCGGGAAGAATTACCCTTGTACCGGGTTAACCTCAAAAGTAATTTTAATTAAACTTTTTTTTATTGCTTAGATGGGTGGACGAGCTCACAGCTCACCTGGTGTTAAGTGGTTACTGGAGCCCATAGACATCTACGACATGAATGTGCCACACACGTGCTTGCGGTAGGCAGTGGCTTGGCTCTGCCCCAGGTATTGCTGAAGTCCATGGGCGACGGTAACCACTCACCATCAGGTGAGCCGTATGCCCGTCTGCCTACAAGGGAAAAAAACACACACCTTAAGATAAAAGTTCTAATGTCTCAAGTATAGTTGAGCGTTGAAGACCTAACGTAACCTACTTGCACGAAATGGTACATACTGGCCATCAATAAACGTTTATTTTTAAAAACATGTCTGTCATTAGTATTCCATTGTATTTATTTTAGTATGAACGTAATGTCTTATAAAAATTGTAATGGTTGAATGTAAATAAAACAACAATATTATTTTACAGATCATTTTAATTCATATAGTTACAGTATAGTTGAAATCACTTAGTCTTGAACTGTAGTTCAATACAGAAAAAGCTCTTTATTCGCGGGGTATATGTTCCGTAAATATGCCGCGAACACCGAAACCGTGAATATGGAAAAACGCGTTGGATACCTACATATTGAAGTATTTTTTATCAATCTGTATGTACCGATGTACCGATTAGATACGCGATTGAAGAAATCTTTAGCCGCGAACACAGGAATTAGGTCGCTTTTTTTTAATCCGCGAATAGTGAAAACGCGAATGAAGGAAACGCGAATAAAGAGCTCTTACTGTACTTCTACAAGACATACGATAGCATTTAAGCAATCCATTTCTCTCGTCATTCGAACGAATTAGCATCTAATCAATCGTGGTACTTCAATGTCATTTAATTTTGAATTTACTAGTGGTCCCGCAGTAGTCGAAATTCGACTATAATTAATTGGAATTGTAAGTTTGTAAACTATTATGATTGTATTTTATACTACTATCATCACAAATTTCGCCAAGACTACACTATAAAAAATATTAACAAAGACAAATATTTAATCTATTCTCAATTTGACAACAGACGTCAAGAACAAAAGTTTGACAATAAATAGTATGCATGCGTGTGTGTGTCAAATACATGGTATGTAGTGTGTGTAATGTTTTCTTTATTGATTTAATGTATCTTATATGCATAATTTAAAAAAAATATTAGCATTGTGCACTTCGTCTCTATATATTTTCTATAAGTGTGGAAAATTTCATACTCCTCCGTCTGCGCAATTTTCGTAAAAAGGGATACAAAGTTTTTGCTTCACGTATTAATATACAGACTTTATTAATGACTAAAAATGATTCGCATTAATCAATTAATGTTAGTGAACTTTAGTTTGACATTTCCAAACCTTATTGTGTGTGTATTTTATGTAATAGACGCGTGCGTTCGTAAACAATGGAAAAGTCTTACGAATATTTTTTTTTTAATTCCGTGAAGTTGATTATTATGTGAAATGTAAATGCATTTCTTTTAAATACTGCAATATTTTTCTTGATATGAATCAATTATGGACGGTTAAGAAATATTCAGTGTTAAGTTAATAACATAATTTTGTATATCTCGTATAAAAATCTAGTTAAGTTAGGTTATAGGGTTTTAATCATTTTCTTAAATAGGAGTTTTATTTTGTAAGACTTGTACACAAAATTATGAGTATTTTGACCTGCAAGTTGTACTAAGTGTATATTCATGATTCATTCATCTAGGTACATATAGCTTTTCATTTATTAGTACTTTCAAACATATTTTAATAACGATTATCAAACGGTGCATATGATGGCTTCGTGGCAAAAATAAACAAAACAGTAGTACAGACTCGTGCGGAATCACAGCTGAGGTCCTAACTAAATGGTTTTGTAAATACTGCGGATTTCAATTTATAAATTAAACTATTTTCCCTTCTTAATGAAAGTCATTCCTGAATACATGTAGGCTCAAAATTATTTGGTATTTTTTTTTCTTTTTTTTTATTACTTAGATGGGTGGACGAGCTCGAAGCCCAACGGTGTTAAATGATTACTGGAACCCATAGACATCTACAACGTAAATGCGCCACCCACCTTGAGATATAAGTTCTAAGGTCTCAGTATAGTTACAACGGCTGCCCCACCCTTCAAGGCGAAACGCATTACTGCTTCACAGCAGAAATAGGCAGGGTGGTGGTACCTACCGCCTTACCACCAGTTACCACTTACCTTGTGCGGACTCATAAGAGCTCCTACCACCAGTAATTTACATCATCTTCTTCATCATCAGCCTATAGCGGTCCACTGCGGGACAAAGGCTTCTCCAACTGCACGCCATTGAGCATAACCACGAGCATAACCCTCGGCTTCTCTCATCCAACGCTTGCCAGTCTCTTTATTAATTACGAATGACAAGTTGAATACAAATTAACGATCAATTAATTTATAATATATTATGTGAAACAAATATAGACTAATATATCCATAAATTGAAAAAAGTTCATGGTCATGAACCATTTGAAATGACATGTATAAAAGTCAAACACAAATGTTGCCATTCTGTTAAATGTGTACCGATCTATTATTTGAAATTATAATTACAAAGAAAAATTTAATTTGGTAATTAAATACTCAATACATGACCCTCATACTAAACATCTAATATTTAGTATAATATTTTTGGGATGGTTACAAGAACTGAAAAGATTTTTTTGATTGTCCGTGTAGGTGGGCGAACAAACGGCTCATCTGATGGTGAGTGGTTACCGTCGCTCATGGACATCAGCAATTCCAGGGGCAGAACCAAGTCGCTGGCGAAAGAGAATATAGCCCACCTGGTGGCGAATGGAGCCCTCGTGAATATCAACAATGCTAAAGGTACAAACAAGCTACTGTGTATCTACTGCTGAGGACTCTTTGGAAATTACCTCTAAAGAAGGTTATTTCATAGTGCTCTGGGAGCAACGAAGGTGGATGTTACGTCGTAAAAAAAAGTAAAGCAGTTGAAAGTAAAAGCATAGCAAATTGAATGCTACGACTCCCAACATTAAATATGAAGTTTGCTCCTCTGACGAAACAATAGTAAACTGGATATTATAGAATTTTGTCAATCAATCACAGATGTACATTTGAAAATAAATAAAATAAAATAAAATAAAATAAATGATTTTCTTCAGTTTTTTTTTTTATTTCTTAAACTTTGAACAATTATTTTTTACAGATGTTGCACTCCGAACCGGCCCTAGAAAGATTTCCTCTAATGCCCATAATCAGTCATACAAGACAAGATCCTGAGTTGTTATCTTCATCTTTAACAGAGATATTGACTCGATACCATAAAAGTACCCAGATATCGTGCTATAGCAGTTTATATACTACAACAAGGGTATTGATAACGAAAATTAGCTCATATGTCATTAATTTTTTCCTAATATACCATGAATTTCCTCATTCAAGAGCCCCCGAATTATACGGCAAGTGTAAATGGCATCATTATGCTGAGGCTAGCTCGCAAATAAATTCACTTTCGCAAAAAACCTTGATGTCTAGTTCATCATCGTTTGGCAGAACACGCAGTGCTTAAAACTCAGCCGGCCGCTATTCTTGTCAAACACGTTTTTCGTGTAGACAAGTTTATCACCTGTGCCGCTGAAAACGAAAGTGATGAGATGATTCATGCGTTATGTGATCAAGGCAGCATTTTTGATATTCTCAACGAAGACAGTGTGCACTGCGGGTCGCGATTCCGATCGATCCGGTAGTAGATTCATTCGCGAAGCAGTTGCTCTTGAGTTGTTAGGTCTCCTTCGGAGACGCTCGGGAAGCTGTTAGCCAATCTCACCCCTCCTGGCTGAGCCTTTGCTCGCCCACCTGTCCTGGTGAAACTGAAAAGGCCTCCGGGCCACCAATAATACTTCAATCATAAAAAAAAGTAGGTGAATTTATGGTGTAGTTTGCTTTCCGCTCGCAGCCCTTCGCATTCATGATCATCGTTGTTATGAGAAATCGCTTGTGTTCTTTCCCAGGATTCCTACTGTTCCATACCGAATCTCATAAAAATCAGTTCTATCGCTTAAGCGTGAAAACGTAACGGATAGATATACAGAGCTACTTCTGTTACAACTAATGTTACTATTACTATTATCACCCATCTATAAAGTACATGTATCACGTATGTAATAACGTAATAAAAAAGGTTTTTCGGTCTAAAGTTCATAGCAAAAACTTGAGAAAACATGTTAAACTGCCAAAACAAGTGCCACTGTTGCATTTAATAAACCTATTTAAAAAAAAAATTGGCGTTCAAATTCGAGTTTTAGAATAAATGATATTTTCACTGTAGACATCATTCAAGTTGTAGTGTTGACAATAATTGGATCGTGAGATCATGCGTCTACAATAGTCAATTACAATAAAACCTCAAACCTTACTAAACGAAGACTTGTAAGCGGCAATGTGGCTGTGCCTCTGGCATTACTGACATCCATGAGCAAGGGTAACCAGTCGCCATAAGGTTTTTTTTTATTGCTTAGATCGTTGGACGAGTTCACAGCCCACCTGGTGTTAAGTGGTTACTGGAGCCCATAGTAAACGTAATGCCGCCACCCACCTTGAGATTTGAGTTCTAAGGTTTCAGTACAGTTCAACGGCTGCTTCACCCTTCAAACCGAAACGCATTACTGCTTCACGGCAGAAATAAGCACAGTGACGGTACCTATCCGTGCGGACTCACAAGAGGTCCTACCACCAGTAATTACGCAAATTATAATTTAGCGGGTTTAATTTTTATTATACGATGTTACTCCTTCACCGTGGAAGTCAATCGTGAACATTTGTTAAGTACATATTTCATTACAAA